AATATGGTGAACAAATAAACTATTGAGCCTTGTTATATAATTTGAATTATTACCAATGTATATGAAATATGTTTCATTAATTAATAGTCGTTTAACTTAGTTTTTTAGTGAAGAAGTAACCTAAAATTTGGTGATGAAAAAGAAGAAAAATATTGAAATTATTTACATCTATTATACCATAATATCATATGAGTATGGTGAATAAATATACTATCGAGCCTCATTATATAATTAGAATTATTACCAATACATATGAAATATGTGTTATTAATTAATAGTCTTTTAACTTAGTTTCTTAGTGAAGAAGTAACCTGAAATTTGGTGATGGAGAAGAAGAAAAATATTGAAATTGTTTACATCTATTATACCATAACACAATGTGAATATGGTGAACGAATATACTATCGAGCCTTGTTATATAATTTTAATTATAACCAATGTATATAAAATACGTGTCATTAATTAATTGTATTTTAACTTAGTTTCTTAGTGACGAAGTAACCTAAAATTTGGTGATGGAGAAGAAGTAAAATATTGAAATTATTTACAATAATTAAACCATAATACCATATGAGTATGGTGAATAAATATACTATCGAGCCTCATTATATAATTTGAATTATTACCAATGTATATGAAATATGTGTCATTAATTAATATTCTTTTAAATAAGTTTCTTAGTGATGAAGTAACCTTAATTTTGGTGATAGAGAAGAAGAAAAATATTGAAATTGTTTACATCTATTATACCATAACACAATGTGAATACGGTGAATAAATAAACTATCGAGCCTCTTTATATAATTTGAAATATTACCAATGTATATGAAATATGTGTCATTATTTAATAGTCTTTTAACTTAGTTTCTTAGGGATGAAGTAACCTAGAATTTGGTGATGGAGAAAAAGAAAAATATTGAAGTTGTTTACATCTATTATACCATAACACAATGTGAATATGGTGAACGAATATACTATCGAGCCTTGGTATATAATTTTAATTATTACCAATGTATATAAAATATATGTCATTAATTAATTGTCTTTTAACTTAGTTTCTTAGTGATGAAGTAACCTAAAATTTTGTGACGGAGAAGAAGTAAAATATTGAAATTCTTTACAATTATTATACCATAATACCATATGAGTATGGTGAATAAATATACTATCTAGCCTCATTATATAATTTGAATTATTACCAATGTATATGAAATATATGTCATTAATAAATAGTCTTTTAACTAAGTTTCTTAGTGATGAAGTAACCTAAATTTTTGTGATAGAGAAGAAGAAAAATATTGAAGTTCTTTACATCTATTATACCATAACACAATGTGAATATGGTGAACAAATAAACTATCGAGCCTTGTTATCTAATTTGAAATATTACCAATGTATATGAAATATGTGTCATTATTTAATAGTCTTTTAACATAGTCTCTTAGTGATGAATTAACCTAAAATTTGGTGATGGAGAAGAAGAAAAATATTGAAATTTTTTACAACTATTATACCAGAATACCATATGAATATGGTGAACAAATATACAACCGAGCCTTGTTATATAATTTTAATTATTACCAATGTAAATGAAAAATGTGTCACTAATTAAAAGTCTTTTAACTTAGTTTCTTAGTGATGAAGTAACCTAAAAATTGGTGATGGAGAAGAAGAAAAATATTGATATTGTTTACATCTATTATACCATAACACAATGTGAATATGGTGAACAAATAAACTATTGAGCCTTGTTTTATAATTTGAATTATTACCAATGTATATGAAATATGGTTCATTAATTAATAGTCTTTTAACTTAGTTTTTTAGTGAAGAAGTAACCTAAAATTTGGTGATGGAGAAGAAGAAAAATATTGTAATTATTTACATCTATTATACCATAATATCATATGAGTATGGTGAATAAATATATTATCGAGCCTCATTATATAATTAGAATTATTACCAATACATATGAAATATGTGTTATTAATTAATAGTCTTTTAACTTAGTGTCTTAGTGAAGAAGTAACCTGAAATTTGGTGATGGAGAAGAAGAAAAATATTGAAATTGTTTACATATATTATACCATAAAACAATGTGAATATGGTGAACAAATATACTATCGAGCCTTGTTATATAATTTTAACTATTACCAATGTATATAAAATACGTGTCATTAATTAATTGTATTTTAACTTAGTTTTTTAGTGATGAAGTAACCTAAAATTTGGTGATGTAGAAGAAGTAAAATATTGAAATTGTTTACAATTATTATACCATAATACCATATGAGTATGGTGAATAAATATACTATCGAGCCTCATTATATAATTTGAATTATTACCAATGTATATGAAATATGTATCATTAATTATTAGTCTTTTAACTAAGTTTCTTAGTGATGAAGTAACCTAAATTTTTGTGATAGAGAAGAAGAAAAATATTGAAGTTCTTTACATCTATTATACCATAACACAATGTGAATATGGTGAACAAATAAACTATCGAGCCTTGTTATCTAATTTGAATTATTACCAATGTATATGAAATATGTGTCATTATTTAATAGTCTTTTAACTTAGTCTCTTAGTGATGAATTAAGCTAAAATTTGGTGATGGAGAAGAAGAAAAATATTGAAATTTTTTACAACTATTATACCAGAATACCATATGAATATGGTGAACAAATATACAATCGAGCCTTGTTATATAATTTTAATTATTACCAATGTAAATGAAACATGTGTCACTAGTTAAAAGTCTTTTAACTTAGTTTCTTAGTGATTAAGTAACCTAAAAATTGGTGATGGAGAAGAAGAAAAATATTGAAATTGTTTACATCTATTATACCATAACACAATGTGAATACGGTGAACAAATAAACTATTGAGCCTCGTTATATAATTTGAATTATTACCAATGTATATGAAATATGGTTCATTAATTAATAGTCGTTTAACTTTGTTTTTAAGTGAAGAAGTAACCTAAAATTTGGTGATGAAAAAGAAGAAAAATATTGTAATTATTTACATCTATTATACCATAATATCATATGAGTATGGTGAATAAATATACTATCGAGCCTCATTATATAATTAGAATTATTACCAATACATATGAAATATGTGTTATTAATTAATAGTCTTTTAACTTAGTGTCTTAGTGAAGAAGTAACCTGAAATTTGGTGATGGAGAAGAAGAAAAATATTGAAATTGTTTACATCTATTATACCATAAAACAATGTGAATATGGTGAACGAATATACTATCGAGCCTTGTTATATAATTTTAACTATTATCAATGTATATAAAATACGTGTCATTAAATAATTGTATTTTAACTTAGTTTCTTAGTGATGAAGTAACCTAAAATTTGGTGATAGAGAAGAAGTAAAATATTGAAATTGTTTACAATTATTATATCATAATACCATATGAGTATGGTGAATAAATATACTATCGAGCCTTATTATATAATTTGAATTATTATCAATGTATATGAAATATATGTCATTAATTAATAGTCTTTTAACTAAGTTTCTTAGTGATGAAGTAACCTAAATTTTTGTGATAGAGAAGAAGAAAAATATTGAAATTCTTTACATCTATTATACCATAACACAATGTGAATATGGTGAATAAATATACTATCGAACCTCATTATATAATTTGAATTATTACCAATGTATATGAAATATGTGTCATTATTTAATAGTCTTTTAACATAGTTTCTTAGTGATGAAGTAACCTAAAATTTGGTGATGGAGAAGAAGAAAAATATTGAAATTGTTTACAACTATTATACCAGAATACCATATGAATATGGTAAACAAATATACAATCGAGCCTTGTTATATAATTTTAATTATTACCAATGTATATGAAACATGTGTCACTAATTAAAAGTCTTTTAACTTAGTTTCTTAGTGATGAAGTAACCTAAAATTTGGTATGGAGAAGAAGAAAAATATTGAAATTGTTTACATCTATTATACCATAACACAATGTGAATATGGTGAACAAATAAACTATCGAGCATTGTTATATAATTTGAATTATTACCAATGTATATGAAATATGTGTCATTATTTAATAGTCATTTAACTTAGTTTCTTAGTGATGAAGTAACCTAAAATTTGGTGATGAAGAAGAAGAAAAATATTGAAATTGTTTACAACTATTATACCAGAATATCGTATGAATATGGTGAACAAACACTACAAGAAAATTAGTGTTTAACGACACAAAAATTGCGACAGTTATGTGATAACTGTCGTAATTGACATATAGCGACAGTGTTTACGACAGTTGACACCAACCGTCCCTAATATTTATTTTGCGACGGTATATTTAACCATCATAATATTATTATTACGACGGTAAAACAACCGTCGGCCCCCATTTAACACTTTTAACATTGATTTTTCACCAACAACTAGTCACGACGGTAAAATTAACCGTCCTAAAAGGCATATCACGACGGTAAAGCACCCGTCGCACCCTTAAACCTTTCACGACGGTAAAATTATCCGTCCTAAAATTCATTTCACGACGGTAAAACAACCGTCGCACCCAAATTAACCCTTATCCAAATTTTACTTAGTAATTTGCTCTCCTTTCATACCAAATATTTTTCGATACCTTATTATTTAAAAAAATATTCACAAAAACGATAATAATCCATATTTATTAAATTATTTCAATGGATGTTCGATAGAGTGAATTCTAGAGCGAAGATCTGAAACAAAAAGCACATTCATTTGGCAAACCTAAACAGCAGAAAAGTACCGTGCTCGTCAGCTTACTCTTCTCACTGGTTTGTTTCAGACTCCAATTTCTATTATCCATCAATCTCATCCATTTAATTTGAAATGAACAATTTATTCAGATTTTGCATGAATGATTTTTTATGGGGAAATCCATCGATTTTGTTTAATTGATCGATTTTTCTTGATTTGTGGCTGCAGAGTGAAACAATTGAAGGGGGAAAACGGTGGCGATGGCAGGTAACACGCAAGATTCATCACCTCAGTCTTTCTGGGAAGGCTACAAAGAGTTTTGGGGCGAGAGGTTTTCGTTTATGAGCAATTATTCCAACTTCATCAAGCGTGATAAACCCCTCACTTCCTGGTCTGACTCTGATGTTGAGGAATTCATCGCTTCTGATCCTCTTCATGGACCCGTGGTAACGATTCTTTTACTTTTTGTTCGATTCAATGCATTTATATCATGATTTTCTACATAGCTTATGCTTAGAGGACATACTGTTTCTACCTTGTATTGCCCAGCGATACGACATCCCTTTCATGTTTGCACCATACCTTTTGTTTTTGGGATAAATGTTTACACTCTGCACTTTTAGTTGGAAGCTTTGACATTTAATTTAAATTCTTCTATCCTGGTTCTTTCATTCCCCATGTTGCTGCATTTTTTTGATTAGTTTGGTTACTCTAGACTGCACAAGCAGCACTACATCAAGAGATGTAAACCACTATTTCTTTTTTGCTTATGGCAGATGTGGTGTCTAAAATGTATGTAAATCTCTATTATATAGATCAAATTCCTTTTGGAAGCTCTTCTGCTACCCTGGACTGATGGAACAGACATCACACTCATGTAAAATGACGTGCTATTGTGATGCAAACCAGATTTCTAGGGAATTAAACAGTAAATAATGCCAATGCAGAATAAGAGAAAGCATTGTTATAATTGATGAAATGTGATAGCAGCAGTAGGAAACAATCTCCCCAACTACCCATAGAGCTCGATCCTCAGAGAATAATCAATCCCCTGCCAAAAGAACTGAAAAATAACTTTTCATGCCCTATTTCCCCTGCCAAATCGATACCTTTCAGAAAGTTTGTAACATGAAGAACAAAACGAGTGGCTTATCTGTTCGCACTCTCAAGGTGGAAACTTCGCCAAGCATTGAAACTATAGATTTTTTAATTCATTAAATCAAAAGGGTTATCACTTATCACTAAAATCAGGGTTCCTTTCAAGATCAAATAACATTCAACAACATTTTCTAGGTTACCCGTGGAGGTTGTCAGAGTGCTCACACAGCTGCTATTGGTAGGTAACTTTCTGGTTTATGCTGAGCATTATGTTTTTTAGGAGGGAAGTGTACTTTTGGTGGATATTGTGCTTAGTTCTTAGCAATTAATGCTACCCATATCATGATTTGCTTATTTTGCAGCTGTTCTGTGTGCTGAGAGAGGAATTACGTCACATCTGCTTCTACGAGGAGAGCAGCCTGAAATCTTGACTGGCTATAACTTGATGTCTACAATATATGGAAATGTCACATATGTTCCGAGAACTATGTACGCCAACAGGGAAGAAATGCTAAAGAACTATGCTAGGTCAGTGGCCGGAAACAGTGGTGCTTTCCTATGGTTCAATGATATCATTCAAGCTTCTTCAACAGGCGAATTGTCTACTTCTCAAAATTTTACGAAAATGGACGCAAGTAGAAGTGAGAGAAACCATCTTCAAAAGATTTTAGTTGTCAACGAAGGGGCTGGTGATTCTGTTGCTCTACTAGGTAATGGGAAGTTGAAGTTTGAAAAACAACAATGCATATCTTTGGGATCATTTTCTCTTAACAATGCATAGCCGTTAACTTTATGGACTGTTGCGGAAAGAACTTAAATGAAAATGTTGTTTCTTTGTATAGGTATTATTCGGTTAGTGCAATACTTATCACAAAATCATTTACTTGGGAAACAAAGAGCCACAAAATTTGTCGTTGATGCTGGTACTGGCACAACAGCTATTGGTATAGGACTTGCAGCCATTTTCTTTGGGTGCGGATCAGTTTGTATACTGCTAATTTACTTAAAAAGTATTTTTGAATCATTTTCCCGAAACTGTTCATGTTGCGTTTTGAACCATAACAGAAAAGGCTACATTAAATCTCAGTAATCAGATTTGTTGTTTCCTTGCAGACTTCCGTGGGAGGTACACGCGGTTATGCTGGCAGATAAAATTGATGGGTACCGAAAGCAGGAAAAGCACTTGATTGTTGAATTCAGTAAGCATTTCAATGTTGAGTTTCTTGACCACGACGTAAACAAAGAAGATGCTGGGATTGTGCATTGGGTGGAACGTGACCGTCCAAGAAAGTAAGATGTTATAGACTTTTTATTTCTTTTTTACGGTATAAAGATGTCATAGACTTTGCAGCAATTAGATTGCTAGTGGTATATATAAAAAAGACACCTCCGACAAATAATTCAGATAGCGGTGATTCACATCTGTGATGTTCTGATGGTAACTATAAATAGGTGACTTAACTCTTCTGCAACTTCTTTATATAAACACGTCAAAGTAGTTGTAAGGCCAAATGTTTTGCTATAGTTCATCATAAATACTTGACTGGTCTTATAGGGTATTGTGATGATGGCACCTAACAAATGACAATTTTAATGTTTGTTGTTTTATTTACACTACTACACATGTGAGTGAAATATTTGTAGTAAGTGTTATTGAAATTCGAGTCTTTTCGTTTAATTTGTATCAGTTATAACATAGGAACTCTAATCGCTAGATTTGGCCTTTATCAAGGTTACAGATTCAATTTTGCGCTGCTTACATTTTCATCGGGGTTGTTTGCATTCTTCTTTATTTTGTAAGTGATTATTGCTCACATTTTTTTTAAATACATGCTTTCAATTATTATTGTTTATGTTAACCTGTATGACAGTGATTGAGTTTCATGGTTGATGTTAATATTACATGAAGGAGTATGAGTACATTGCATAACAACTAATTGCTTGCTTCTATTCCTCCAAGCTGGAGCTTCATCGATCAATTCACTGTATTAGTACAAGGTATTCATGTTCCTCCTGAATGTACATGTAACGTCATAGTAAATTCTATTTTACAGTTTGAAATATTCTGCCCCTTCATATTGAGCGTGTTCTTTTTTATTTAATCATTTTGTTTAAACATGGTTAATGATCTTAGGGACTAGACGCAATGGTTGGTGAACATGGAACTCAACTCTAGGGAGGTCAAAAGCAAAGAGTTGCAATTGGAAGAGCAATTTTGAAAGATCCAAAAATATTACTTCTTGATGAAGCTACAAGTGCCCTTGATGCCGAGTGTGCATGTATTGATACTAACTTGTGCATTTGTATGTTCTTTTTAAACCTTGGTGATTTCCTTGTGCAGAAACTAGGGGAAGGTGTGAAAGGGGTGTATATCTCGATAGACGTGGATTGTCTTGATCCTGCATTTGCTCCGGGAGTGTCTCATATTGAACCGGGAGGTCTTTCTTTCCGCGATGTTCTTAACATCCTACACAATCTTCAAGGTGATGTTGTTGCTGGAGACGTCGTTGAACTCAACCCACAACGCGATACTGTTGATGGAATGACTGCTATGGTAGCTGCTAAGTTGGTCAGAGAAATGGCTGCAAAGATTGCAAAATGATCAAGAGATTTCGGAGCTAACCTCTTTTTGTTATAGTTCCTGAAAATCGGAAAATCTCACTTGTTATAGGTAACTTGTAGCAAAGTTATAAGGTGGTATAAGCATATTACAATGTGCAATAATTCATAAATCTTTTCTCCCAATAATAAGTACTGGTATCTCACGGAAATCTCACGCTTCAATAGCAAAAGCAATGTCTCCTTGCATTATTTTACAAATGGTTTCCCAACTGAATTAATAATACTGAGTTAGTAAATATTTCAAAACAATTGGATTGCTCATTTCAAAACAATGTTGAAAAGTGATAGAAAATAAAATAAAAATACTATAAATAAAAAAATATTAAAGTAAATAATAATTTAAATATAATAGTAAAATATTATAGTAAAATAATATTATATTTAAAATTATTTTACTAAATAATAATTTAAATAAAAATATTATTTGAAATTTATAAATCAGATTATGACGGTTAAAGTCAAATTCACGACGGTATATAACCGTCGCAAACAACAACAACAAAAAATAAAGTCAAATTCACGACGGTATATAACCGTCGCAAACAACAACAAAAACAAAAAATAAAGTCAAATTCACGACGGTATATAACCGTCGCAAACAACAACAAAAACAAAAAATAAAGTCAAATTCACGACGGTATATAACCGTCGCAAACAACAACAAAAACAAAAAATAAAGTCAAATTCACGACGGTATATAACCGTCGCCATCTGTTGTGCGTGACAGTTTTTGCAACCGTCGCGAAATAGGCTGGGGACGCACGATTCTGCGACGGTACTTCTACCGTCGTAGATTGTAAATTGCGACGGTTTTAACCGTCGTAATCAGCCAAAATAACCGTCCCAATCTATCATTTTTCTTGTAGTGAAATATACTATCGAGCCTTGTTATATAATTTTAATTATTACCAATGTATATGAAATATGTGTCACTAATTAAAAGTCTTTTAACTTAGTTTCTTAGTTATGAGGTAACTTAAAATATGGTGATGGAGAAGAAGAAAAATATTGAAATTGTTTACATCTATTATACCATAACACAATGTGAATATGGTGAACAAATAAACTATTGAGCCTTGTTATATAATTTGAATTATTACCAATGTATATGAAATATGTTTCATTAATTAATAGTCGTTTAACTTAGTTTTTTAGTGAAGAAGTAACCTAAAATTTGGTGATGAAAAAGAAGAAAAATATTGAAATTATTTACATCTATTATACCATAATATCATATGAGTATGGTGAATAAATATACTATCGAGCCTCATTATATAATTAGAATTATTACCAATACATATGAAATATGTGTTATTAATTAATAGTCTTTTAACTTAGTTTCTTAGTGAAGAAGTAACCTGAAATTTGGTGATGGAGAAGAAGAAAAATATTGAAATTGTTTACATTTATTATACCATAACACAATGTGAATATGGTGAACAAATATACTATCGAGCCTTGTTATATAATTTTAATTATTACCAATGTATATAAAATACGTGTCATTAATTAATTGTATTTTAACTTAGTTTCTTAGTGACGAAGTAACCTAAAATTTGGTGATGGAGAAGAAGTAAAATATTGAAATTATTTACAATAATTAAACCATAATACCATATGAGTATGGTGAATAAATATACTATTGAGCCTCATTATATAATTTGAATTATTACCAATGTATATGAAATATGTGTCATTAATTAATAGTCTTTTAAATAAGTTTCTTAGTGATGAAGTAACCTTAATTTTGGTGATAGAGAAGAAGAAAAATATTGAAATTGTTTACATCTATTATACCATAACACAATGTGAATACGGTGAATAAATAAACTATCGAGCCTCTTTATATAATTTGAAATATTACCAATGTATATGAAATATGTGTCATTATTTAATAGTCTTTTAACTTAGTTTCTTAGTGATGAAGTAACCTAGAATTTGGTGATGGAGAAAAAGAAAAATATTGAAGTTGTTTACATCTATTATACCATAACACAATGTGAATATGGTGAACGAATATACTATCGAGCCTTGGTATATAATTTTAATTATTACCAATGTATATAAAATATATGTCATTAATTAATTGTCTTTTAACTTAGTTTCTTAGTGATGAAGTAACCTAAAATTTTGTGATGGAGAAGAAGTAAAATATTGAAATTGTTTACAATTATTATACCATAATACCATATGAGTATGGTGAATAAATATACTATCGAGCCTCATTATATAATTTGAATTATTACCAATGTATATGAAATATATGTCATTAATAAATAGTCTTTTAACTAAGTTTCTTAGTGATGAAGTAACCTAAATTTTTGTGATAGAGAAGAAGAAAAATATTGAAGTTCTTTACATCTATTATACCATAACACAATGTGAATATGGTGAACAAATAAACTATCGAGCCTTGTTATCTAATTTGAAATATTACCAATGTATATGAAATATGTGTCATTATTTAATAGTCTTTTAACATAGTCTCTTAGTGATGAATTAACCTAAAATTTGGTGATGGAGAAGAAGAAAAATATTGAAATTTTTTACAACTATTATACCAGAATACCATATGAATATGGTGAACAAATATACAATCGAGCCTTGTTATATAATTTTAATTATTACCAATGTAAATGAAAAATGTGTCACTAATTAAAAGTCTTTTAACTTAGTTTCTTAGTGATGAAGTAACCTAAAAATTGGTGATGGAGAAGAAGAAAAATATTGATATTGTTTACATCTATTATACCATAACACAATGTGAATATGGTGAACAAATAAACTATTGAGCCTTGTTTTATAATTTGAATTATTACCAATGTATATGAAATATGGTTCATTAATTAATAGTCTTTTAACTTAGTTTTTTAGTGAAGAAGTAACCTAAAATTTGGTGATGGAGAAGAAGAAAAATATTGTAATTATTTACATCTATTATACCATAATATCATATGAGTATGGTGAATAAATATACCATCGAGCCTCATTATATAATTAGAATTATTACCAATACATATGAAATATGTGTTATTAATTAATAGTCTTTTAACTTAGTGTCTTAGTGAAGAAGTAACCTGAAATTTGGTGACGGAGAAGAAGAAAAATATTGAAATTGTTTACATATATTATACCATAAAACAATGTGAATATGGTGAACAAATATACTATCGAGCCTTGTTATATAATTTTAACTATTACCAATGTATTCAAAATACGTGTCATTAATTAATTGTATTTTAACTTAGTTTCTTAGTGATGAAGTAACCTAAAATTTGGTGATGTAGAAGAAGTAAAATATTGAAATTGTTTACAATTATTATACCATAATACCATATGAGTATGGTGAATAAATATACTATCGAGCCTCATTATATAATTTGAATTATTACCAATGTATATGAAATATGTATCATTAATTATTAGTCTTTTAACTAAGTTTCTTAGTGATGAAGTAACCTAAATTTTTGTGATAGAGAAGAAGAAAAATATTGAAGTTCTTTACATCTATTATACCATAACACAATGTGAATATGGTGAACAAATAAACTATCGAGCCTTGTTATCTAATTTGAATTATTACCAATGTATATGAAATATGTGTCATTATTTAATAGTCTTTTAACTTAGTCTCTTAGTGATGAATTAAGCTAAAATTTGGTGATGGAGAAGAAGAAAAATATTGAAATTTTTTACAACTATTATACCAGAATACCATATGAATATGGTGAACAAATATACAATCGAGCCTTGTTATATAATTTTAATTATTACCAATGTAAATGAAACATGTGTCACTAATTAAAAGTCTTTTAACTTAGTTTCTTAGTGATTAAGTAACCTAAAAATTGGTGATGGAGAAGAAGAAAAATATTGAAATTGTTTACATCTATTATACCATAACACAATGTGAATATGGTGAACAAATAAACTATTGAGCCTCGTTATATAATTTGAATTATTACCAATGTATATGAAATATTTTTCATTAATTAATAGTCTTTTAACTTAGTTTTTTAGTGAAGAAGTAACCTAAAATTTGGTGATAGAGAAGAAGAAAAATATTGTAATTATTTACATCTATTATACCATAATATCATATGAGTATGGTGAATAAATATACTATCGAGCTTCATTATATAATTAGAATTATTACAAATACATATGAAATATGTGTTATTAATTAATGGTCTTTTAACTTAGTGTCTTAGTGAAGAAGTAACCTGAAATTTGGTGATGGAGAAGAAGAAAAATATTGAAATTGTTTACATCTATTATACCATAAAACAATGTGAATATGGTGAACGAATATACTATCGAGCCTTGTTATATAATTTTAACTATTACCAATGTATATAAAATACGTGTCATTAATTAATTGTATTTTAACTTAGTTTCTTAGTGATGAAGTAACCTAAAATTTGGTGATGGAGAAGAAGTAAAATATTGAAATTGTTTACAATTATTATATCATAATACCATATGAGTATGGTGAATAAATATACTATCGTGCCTCATTATATAATTTGAATTATTATCAATGTATATGAAATATATGTCATTAATTAATAGTCTTTTAACTAAGTTTTTTAGTGATGAAGTAACCTAAATTTTTGTGATAGAGAAGAAGAATAATATTGAAATTCTTTACATCTATTATACCATAACACAATGTGAATATGGTGAATAAATATACTATCGAACCTCATTATATAATTTGAATTATTACCAATGTATATGAAATATGTGTCATTATTTAATAGTCTTTTAACATTGTTTCTTAGTGATGAAGTAACCTAAAATTTGATGATGGAGAAGAAGAAAAATATTGAAATTGTTTACAACTATCATACCAGAATACCATATGAATATGGTAAACAAATATACAATCGAGCCTTGTTATATAATTTTAATTATTACCAATGTATATGAAACATGTGTCACTAATTAAAAGTCTTTTAACTTAGTTTCTTAGTGATG